CACCCACCCACCCACACATATTCATAGTACTAAAATTACAAAATGGCAAATTAAAAGAAGTCAATTACTGAACTATTTTACAAGTGTATAACTCATTAATTACAGTAAGGAAGATCAAAAGGCTTGTCAAAGAGAAATAAAGTGATACACTACATTATTAATGTTTTAGTGAAGTTAAAAGATTTATCAGAATTTCTGCTGAAAAGAGAATAGCATGTGATGAAAAGAAAGAAGGGAAAGAAAGGAGGGAAAGCGAAAATAAAAAGAAAAAAGGAAGAAAAGGAAAAAAGAAAAAGGAAAAAAACAAGAAAAGAAAGAAGGAAAAGAATAAAAAGATGTCCTGAGGATCAAAGATGCTTTAATGAAAACGGAAGCAATGGAGCAATGGCACCTTGAAAAGCAGTGAAAGCACCCTTACTGAATTCATCTGTAGCAGCCAATGGCATGTGACAGGCAGCAAATTAAATACCGGCTCTGAAAACTATTAGTTGTCAGAAAAAGAGTAAATATTTCTAAGCAGATCATTTTTATGTTAACACTTCACTAGATGCCTACTAGCAGCAGTAAACTGGTTTGTTAAGTGCTTTTAAGGTAGAGTAGCTGCACAAAACATTTTTATACCTCTTCTTTGACTGGTAGTTGATGGAGGTGGAAGAATGCCGGTTGAAACTAAAATGAGACAAAAGTTGTATTTGAAAAAATATACAAAAGAAAATTGGGATATCCTGTCCTACAGTAAATCTCTTTATGACTAAGAGGTGCTCTTAAGTGCTAAAGTAAACAACATGTACATATTTATAATCACATAAGATCGGTATTACTCTACAAATTACATTTTGCTTGCTTATCTTGCTTAAGCTAGGAATCATAGTGAAACCTGAATAATGGTAACATAAATAAATGAGGTGGCTGTACTGCTGCATAAGTCACTCTCATCCAGTTTTGCTCATTCTTTAGTCATGGAATTTTAATTCAACCACTGGATTGTTTGCTTTGACATTCACCATTTGTTTGTATTAGTACAGAAGAAGTATGAGTTTCTTTTTGTCAGCATCGTAAACTAAAGTTGCATGAAATCTTAAAAGAAAACCTTGAATGTACTGAAGTCCAAAGATCACCTAAGTTTCCCAGCTTATGAAGCAACTAGGACAACCCCACAGAAAGGACAGACTGAAGATGGTTGCAGCAACAAGATCAAGCCATCACAGTAAACTTCTCCTTTGCTGTACCATTCTACTCTTCATTTACTCAGAGAGTCTTAGGGAAACGGAGTGGGTTTTTTTTTTCTTGGGGAAACAGCATCATTTCAGAACATGAATGATTCTTTTCTATAAATACAGAAAGAACTTAAAAGCCTGCATAATGTATGATATGAGAAACGAGGATTCAGTATGAACACAGCTCTGGTCTAAACGCAGAGCAGAGCAGGGCTACATGGCATCAATCATATCCCACAGGAGCACAGCCCACATTTGCCAGAATTACCAGAAGCCTATCATATATATCAGTTATTTTCACAGCTTCTGAAGAAGAGGTTTTCTTCCCTTTATCACAGACACACTGCTTGGATTAAAATCCTAGGATCACAAAAGCTACACCTTCCCTTTAGAACCATAATTGTAACTTTCCATCGTTTCTCCTGGTTTTGTATTCCCAGAGTGCTGTCTCACTGGTTACTCTGCTTTTATCTTCCAAATGGAAGAACCAGTTGCATAAAGAGCTTCATAATGTATTTAAAACACTCTGGCTATGCTTTCCTCTTTCTAAGTAAGATTGCAAGTGAAAAAGTAAGATAACATTGCAGATTTAAAAGTAAGTGTAACATCGTCAGTTAAGGATTAATGACTTAGTTCAATCATTCCTTTTTATGAACATTATACAGGTTTTACTCATGTTAGATGTTATGCATACAGCCTTGCTCACAAAGGCAAAATCAGTATAGAACTGGATCTACCAAAGTTTAAAATCAGATTTAAATAGTTAAGGACAGTGACCAAGAAATCCTCCCGCATTTTCTTGGTGGACCTTTTTAAGGTATCTAGAAGGGAAAACCAAAACAAAGCAAAACCAAAACCAAACCAACAAATACTGAAACAATGGGGGTAGAATCTAAGCCTCATTCTATCTGAGCATGTTTTACAGGATGGGGATACTGTTGTAAATAAGGTCACCCATATTTTATTTTGAAATAAATCATATGACATGCTGTAATGCTCCAGCGGTATATGTCAAGCTGAAACTGGATTTTTAAGTCTGCATGTTGGCATGCTAGTATATTGTTTGATTTCCAAATGAAAACTATTAAATGCTCAAAAATTTGAATTACAAATTAATTTAGAAACTCGTTTTAGTCCCTTATGTTTGAATACAGTAGCTATAATACACGACAGTTTTAAAAACAAACATGGAAGTAGTGCTCAAAAATAAAGAACCTATTTCAGCTACAACACAGCCCTCCAAAAAAACACACAAACACATGGACTTTACTGCTTTACCCAATTATCAGGGAACGCATTCTTTGCAGGTCTGACAAGTTTCTGATTTGCCTTCATGTCCCAAGGTTTGCTGAATTACTGAACTTCCAAGAGAGACATCAGCTAAGACAATAACATTTGCCAGCTGAAAACAGCTTGAAGCGTATGTTAGCATGATAAGCTGTGTCATCCATTGGCAAGTAAGATTTTAGGGCAGTAGCATATAAAGCTGATGTGCTGTAGATCTTACATCTTTGACTTAAATTATTGCCAGGTATGAGCAATAGGTTTTAGTAGTCTTATTAAGGCACTGCTTTCTGAAATGGACAGTTGTTTTCCACAGGTTCACAGAATTCTGAGGTTGGACGAGACCTCAGGAGGTCTCTCACCTCTATTCCTGCTCAAAGCAAGTCTGGCTCTGAGGTCAGCCCATGTTGCTTAGTATTTTACCCAGTGGTGTCTTGAAAACCTTCAAGAATGGAGTCACTGTCTCCCCAGACAACCTGCTTCCTCTCAAAGGGGTGGGAAAGGGTAATGCAGTTCATGCCCATAATGCAAGAGATAAAAGACATTTGATTTGGAAGTGAATTTTAATATCTCAAGGTGATCTTTTTATCCTCATTACTGACTGAAGATGTGATTCACACTGATGAGTTCATATTGATAAATAACTATGAATGAATTTCTAGTGTCAAGGCTTCACACTGCTTCCCTTCTCCCCATTAAAAGAATGTAAAATTAAAGTGAAATGGATAAAGGCTCAATCAAGAAGTAGTATTACATTAGCTCTAAGATAGCCATGCAAGTAGTGTCAGCAAATAATGGCTATCTTTACACTAATTTATGAGCTGTTTATATATAAACTATACATAATTGTTGCTTGACTGTCATTTCCAAGACAGCAATGAAAACAAAGGTCACTTATGGAAGAGCAGATTTATCCCAAAAGATAACAACAGATACCTGCATCTACTTCTAATACCAAAAGCTATGCCTGCAGTTGTCAATCTGTCCTAAGTAACTCTTACATTCTCTATATATATTCTAACAAAGCTACCATACTTCAATATGAAGAATGCCTATGCTGGGATTCAGAAGGTCTATCCACAGCTTTGGGATTAATACAAATGAATTATGAGCTTCTTAAATGCATAGCCTTCAGTTAAAAAAAAAAAGTATGCACAATTTTGTGAAAATACACTTTCTGCCTACATGGGCAGCCTTATTTTAAAGATTTTCTATGATGATAAACTGCCTCTGAAATGTTTCTAAGAGATCTACCTTTTTTTTTTTTCATTACTCTGATTTAAAAGCTCATGACACTGATTCATATATTAATACTGGTTTCTGAAGTTTTTAGATGACTCCAGGTAGGGTCTTATAACTCAATAGTCCTATTTCAGAATGTCTCCTCCTGACTAGCAGCATTCTCAGTGTTCAAATCTATGTTTTTCTTCACCCAGTCAGACAGCTTCACAGAATAATAAAATCTAAAAAAACCAACCAAAACCGAAACCTGAAATGAAACTATTTCTTAAAACTGGAAAATTTGTAGTTTTGACATTTTGAAAGTGTGATGTGTTCTTTAGCCATTCTCTTACATCCTCCCATTCAAGATACTCAGAAATTATCAGTGAGTAGAAGGATGTTTTTTTACTCAAGCCTTTCTAATCTTGGATGTGCAATAAATCTGACTAAGCTTTTACCAGTGGAGTCCTAAAACTGATAGATGCAATGCATCTGTGATTTTATCTTTCTGCATTCCGCCAAAATTGTTCTTTAAAAGGAAGTCTTATATTATCTGATTGTTTTTCTTGAAGGAGAAAAACTAGGACCCTGTGTGACAGCAATGCTAATCGCATATACTGCAGAAAAAAAAAAAAGTATTACATGCCGAACTACTACGACATGCAGGATTCAGAGTGCTATTATTAGCTATGACATGTAATTCTCACTGAAGACAGCAGAATACCAAGTTAATCTCTTATGCAGGTATGTGAAAATACACCTCTCAGAGCAAGAGAGGTGTATGGGTCCTAATATACAGACTGATAAAACATGAATAGATGTCCTCGCTGGCCACAGTAGTCACCAAGGCTTCAATTTAATTTCATCTTCTCACTGACGGATACACTGCAGTCCTCAACTGAGAGATACCCTAAAACTGAGTCTTTTCTATAGCTCAGAAGAAATAAATGGTTTTACACGCCAGCGTTTAATCAAGCTCAAATATGCACAGTTACTGTTGTTCAGGAAACAAGGTACTTTCCCTCGTTGTAAGAGACTCTTAATGGTCTCCTGCAACAACCATGTAGAACCCTCTTCTCACAGAGATATGTGATCATTCCAACTGGCTAAAAGAGATTTGTTACTAAAACAAATGGTGGATGAGCTAGTACTGGTGACATTTATGAGCTTAATCATAGCACAGGTGTGAGTATTGAGTACTCCTCCAAGTAACAAGCAATAGGACAAGAGGAAACAGCCTTAAGTTGCACCAGACGAGGTTTAGATTGAATATTAGGAAAAATTTCCTCACTGAGAAAGATCCTTCTTCACTCTTGAGAAAGACCATTATACTTCTTGTTGTATAGCCTTGGAAGGTATCCCTGCCCATGGCAGAGGAGTTGGAACCAGGTAAATCTTAAGGTCCCTTCCAACCCAAACCATTCTATGATTCCTTTTCATATAAAAATAAGAGAGACATGGATAATTATAATCTCAAATGTGTTGCTGATTCAGTTTTTCATTATTTCTGAAGATTGTGTTCAAATATATGAACTGCTATATGTACTGCTTTCTCCTCTGTTAGTCTTGACAAGGTGTTAATGAAAGCAATGAAAAGGCTTAGCGGTGAAGCAGTACAGCAGCATTCTCTCTTTCTAGTGATAGATGCTACCTTTCCCTATCAGTAGTCTGTCGTTAGCCATGATGAAAAGCATCATAAAAGAAGGTCTGTGATTCCTGTGACCCTGTTTTCACCAAGAAAAAAAAAAAAGTCTGTCATTCTCACCAGTGTCACTAGACAAATATTTTCATTTTAAGACAGCAAAACCAGCACAAACCAACCAAATGAAATACCTTTGTTCCAAAAGGATATTTTGGTCACATATCCTAAAATCTAAAACTTAGGTGTTTCCTAGCTCAGTTTTAACATGAAAGGTAAGCAAGAAGGCTCTTCATTTAAACACGTCATGCTTTTCAGTGGTCCCTGCCTAGCCAATCTCTTAAGAAGGTGAAAACCTTATATCACAGAGTAATACACAATAAAAACAAATTAAGTTAAAAGAAAAATAAGAGAGCTTTCAGATATACCTATACTGAGATGAGATAGCAGATGAAATAGTGGAAGCTGCTAATGACGTGTTCTTGGACCCATGATAAGGCTTAGGCTGTGAGAGAGAGCTGGGGGCTGCAGGCACTCTGCAGAAGACACAGTAAAAGCATGAAAGCATGTACAAAATAATTTAAGAGGGGCAAAGATAGTGACATCAGAATCAAGCTTTGTTGGAGTTCAGATAGAGGAGGACTGCTGCATAGTTACCAGGAACAGGTTTTCTGTAGCATACATCTGCAGACTTACAGTATAGCACAATCAAGCACATTCCTACAGAACACAAGACAAAATGCACGTTATGTAAAAATCTTAAAACCAGAGTCTATTGATTGCTCAGAATGACAGTACTTCAGGACAGGACTTTTGTAAATGACGCATGTTTTGATCTGCAAAATCTGAAGATGTTTGAGTCTGAATTCAATCTAGACTTTTTAATATGAAAGCAGTAGCAGACAAAAGATTCTCCTATTTAAAACACAAGCCATTGGCATGATTAGTTTAGTAGAGACATTTACTTCTGAAGCATATGTTAGACAATCCATTTTCTTCATTTTATAGTTTCAACTGAGGGATAAAAATTATTTGAAACCATATCATTAATTCACATGAAAGTGCCTTACAGCACAGTCTAAAGTATGGAATAATACCTTATTCAAACCTCCTTTGCTGGCTGGATGATTCACTTTCTTGCACTGAAATAAAAACACTGGAGTCTGGTAGGTCACAGTTAGGTAGAACTGACTGAAGTGAGAAACTAGTTTGTATACATAAGTAATTTCAGTCAACTGGCAAAAATTAAAGAAGAAGTAGAGCTGAGAGAACATTTCCAATTGCATTCACACAAACTGAAGATATGACAGACTGCATCTCAGATCTCAATTATTTAAAATAGTTTACATTCCTAGAAGTGTGTTTTTCCTTGGATTCTTAAAGCATGCTAAAATATACATCTTTTAGGAACATTGTCCTGGATTCAGGACACATGTTTAAACCATGACAAACATTCATGTAGCAAAAAACCCTTTTACTGTCTCCAAAATTACTGTAACATAAGTGACAGCAATGTAAATCCCATGCATTTCTTCACAGACTGTCTTGACTGCTTTTAATATATAAGTCCCACTGCACAACAAGTGTTCTGAATGCACACCTCTTTGGAACTCACTCACTTTAGCTCTAGGGCTAAGTTTCTTATTGGAGAAGAGAGCAATCTAATAGAAATTACTTAATACCTTACAGAGCAGTAAGTCTGTGGTTTTATTGACATCTTGCTCATTGTCTGCCATGTTTTGCTGACATCTGCTATGATATGGTAAGCTGAATCACATGAGGAAGTAACATTTTCTGATTTTGCATTTCATGCCATACTGCAGAAACACTATTAAAAGAATCCTCATTCACTGTTACTATTATGAGGAGCTGTTTTAGTTTTATTACAAGTGATGAAAAAATAGTTCTAGTTTTAACCCTTCCCTTGCTCTCTGAAAATATAAGTTGTATTGCAGACTTAAAGTTACATTTTTAGGGCAGTTTTATTTTTGCAAAGTTTTTGTAAAGTGAACAACATGCTTCAAATTAAGAAAACACACTAAAAGATATAAAAGCATATAAAATAGATTACAGCTTTTACATACTACATTCTTAAATTAAGAATGTGTATGCAGCATTTCCAGAGCCATACAGGGATGTATTTGCAAAAGGACAAAGCAAGGAAGCATTACCTTTGGAAGGAGGATGAGAAAGACTCTTGCACTACTGAGGTGGTTGCTGGTGGCATCATGAGACTGGCTGTATTTTGAGCAGCAGTAGCAGGCTGATGGGCTGAAGCATGTGGTGCAGGAGCAGAGGCAGAACTGGTAGACACCGGAGCATGCTCAACAGGGGTACTAATTAGAGTTAAATTAAATAAAACAAGAAGCATCTTAAAAGGTGCATATTTAAACGTAAAGCATAAACCCTACTATGTTTGAACCTGCAAACATAGTAGCAGGCTGTGTTACCGAGGGGAAAGCACAACTATGCAAAGAAAGAAAAAAAAGGGCATTTGTTAGGCCTTCTCAGATGTGCAGTTGAGACTGTAATGCAGTTTTGGTGCTGCCCGACTGAAATTTATCTCAGGTGTTGCACAGTACTTAAGTCCTGCTCCTACTGAAGCCAGTGGTAGGAAACGTGGCATGCATACTTAAATGGTTGCAAAGAGCCTGTCACAAATTCTGAGCTCAGGCAAATTTCATCCATTTTTTACTCCTGGAGCTGAAGTTTATGTTAGGAGTAAACATTTGAATTAGATAAAGAAAAGCAGTTTAAAGGGTACTATCACAGTCCTGTATCAGCACTTTTCCTGCAAGTTCTGGTAGTCTGGAAATCCAATCAACACAGTTTTGTGTTGAGTTTAGTCAGTTTTGTGCAATACAAGTAGCAGAAAGATGTTTAAAACGAGTTCATCTCTGACCTAGGTTCACCTTACATTACATTGGACAACCCATCAAACAATAAGATGCCTTTTTATACATAGAACAGTATGCAAATGGTGAAGATGTGGCATAAAATTTTACTATGCCAGTTTTAAAATCACTTGGGTGAAGAGCATGAGCTGCTATTCTTGTGGTGCTCCTGTGCTATTGTGGCACAGATAGAGAAATATTACTGTTTAATTATTTTTTCTCTTTATTTGATTGCAAAATAGATTGATTACTTAATAATAAAAATCATGGGGTCATTCTACCTACTGAACTACCAGTGTCTTTCATCACCTCCTATCAGAGTACCCAGTGCTTATTGGCATATTTCAGCCTTAGAGCCTCACTCAAATTTGAAAGAATTACTCATCTCTTAGAGACAGACAAATGGTGCACAGTTATCCATTAGAGAGTTTTGCAAGATAGCTTAGTCAAAGCCATCCACTGCCAAGAAATGCACCAATCTTTTGGGAGATTCAGTTTACTGTCTTCCACTAGCTCTTACATCAAATGAAAAAATAATCATTAAGTGGACTTACAAGAATCAAGTTCTTTGATAACTGATTCAATAAAATTATTATCAGCAAAAGAACAATAATATGTACCTTCATTTTTCACTTGTCAATAAACCTAATAAATATCACTAGGTCATTTAAAATTAAAAGGGGAGTGGAAAAGATAAAAATGACAAACAAGAAAAGACAAAAGCTTGATTTTGTGTTTAGGCAGATTTTACTGTGGATTTTTTAAATTATTATCCATAGAACAAATAAGCCACTGAAAAATAACTAACTGCAATTTGATTTTTCAGATTATTGTACTATTTTGAGGCACAGCCCTCAGTGGCAATATAAGCATGTGCCCCCCAGGCATGAGGGACATTTTTCTTGATGCCATATTATTGTGCTGTAGATTAATCTTCCTTAATAGTTATCCTAATCTTTTTTTTTTTTTTTCCTAAACCCGGGGCATTACTGTACATGACATAGTTGTCTTGTCCACAAGCTGTGGTATAAGAACATACCGGATGTATTTTTACTTCTTTTGTCCTCACTTGTAAGTATATTGCCACGTCTCTGAATTCTTACAAACGACTCCTTTGCGACCATTGATGGTGATGGAATTTGGCAATTCTCTTGTGAAGTGTACAAAGAATACCCAAAATATGCCTTCCTGAGCACATTACATATCAAATAACAGAAGAAAGCTCAGAGTTCCATGACTGTTTTTCAGCCAAACCTTAGCCCTTGAACATTCTTTCTCTCAGCTTTTTTCCTATGTGGATTTGCCATTGTGCAAATATTTTCTCTGTCTTTCAGCCATTCTATCTAATATTTTCTTTGGCTTCTCTCAGAAGCACTGATTCAAGAAGTTATACTCCTCAGGACCTAGAATGAGTGCTTGGTAATTCAGAATTCATGACACCCCTTGTTCTTCAAGGGACTGTCCCATTTCTCCTGTTCTCCTCCTTTCCTCCACTTTCTTGTATGGTTTAGTAGTCTAAATGATGGTCTTTAATTTCAACGGAGTATTTTACTGTTTGATTAGCTGAAATGGAAGCATGGTTGTTATGCCTACCAATTTCAAAGCTGAATGCAACCCATGACAAAAGCAGAAAAGAAGTTATTTTCTTCCTTATGAGTTTCATCTTCTATTATATACGTAACAAGTGAGTTCCTGAAAATACTCATCCTGTTTACAATTCTGGTTTTCAAATCATTACACCAAAAGTTTTGCAACAGTTTGTCCATCATTATATGCATCTGAAATTCAGATCAGTTCTTCCATCCTGACGCACTGGCATTATGATGCAAATTCTTCTGCTTAGCTAATACAGTATCAATCACATAGACTACGTAGCAGTGTAGCTGTATGTTATACATCACAGGTATGGATCACAGGCAAGTCTGTTACCGAGTTTTAATACTCACATTAAAAGGTGTTGAGTCAAAATTTATTACTTACATATCTTTGATTTGACAAACAGGAAACAACTGAAACTATGCTGCACATAAAAAAGGAACCTAATATATCTCCTAAGAACAAATACAAACTAGGATTTCACCTATTTTGTCTTTATTTTCACTGATGTAAAAGAGAATTTGCTACAGATTTCAAAAGAATAAAGACTTCATACCTTGAACAAAAGAAAACAGTAAAGTTACTTAATCATTGTAATGATCCCCAAAATGTTAAGCAAAACACATGCTATACTGAGTGATACATATTGAAAAAAAAAATATTTGTGGACGTGAACCTGTGTGGAAACAGATTTGAACTGGACAAACACATATAGATGAAATAGATGCAACTATACTGGAATACCTTATAAAATTTAAAAGAAATACAAACAAACTTTATCCTGCATGCTGTTTGTAATAGTTCTTTTATGTGATTAAAGTATTAGAGGCTTGATCACCTTCCTGCGAGGTAGAATACATCTGTTAACAGAACAAGGAATTGCAATAAGTATAAATGAAGTAGATGTAACCTTAAAAATCAGAGTGATCTGGTTATATAAAATATTTGCAGTTGGTAACTAGTTCTCTACTCAATTTTATAGAAAGAGCTGAGACTAACTTGACTGGTTTTAGTTTAACTACTATATATTGTAAATAATTTTATTTAGGTATTCAAATAAAATAATTTACTTTTTATTTCCTCAGATTGCCTCCCTTTTATCTTTTCAATCTGTTTGGGTTTTTTAGCCCTTCAGGTGCAGAAGAATTTAAGAACTGATAAATGTAAATGCTACTTTATAAGATAGTTCATTTATTATAATAGCGTCATTTTTACATACGTTACAGAGGTTTGTGGCTTTTTGTTAATACAGTTATTCTGTACACTTTCAATCTTTATAGTTTTTTGTATTTTAAGGAAAATGAAAGGAAATGGATGTTCTCAAACATCTCCATATTTGTGGTAACAGATAAACATAAAATGCACAATGTGAGTAAGTTAGGTGGATGAAAACAAACACATCTCTCTTCTCAGATGATTTTCACTCAAGAAAAGGAACGCAGATCAGTAGAGGTTAAGTGAATAATAATGGTTAACAACCATAATGAGAAACCACAGCAACAAATGCACTCAAACATTTTTTAAAAGTGAGTGCAGATTAACTTCTTGCCTTCAATAGTCCTAAATTCTGAGACTTTCTGTCCAAATAACAATCAAGTGGATTATTAAAGCAGCACTTGGTCTCCTCTATGTAATGCATGAAGTTTTGTTCTGAATACTCCAACAGATCTCTTGTAAAGAATTCAAAATAGAATGAGCAAAAATAAAAATGAAGAGGCAAAAATTATCTCTTACTGTGGCATTTGTAGAAAAAAATGTGTTTAGAGAAAGACATCGCATGGAAGAGCTTTGCATATGAATATAGGGATGTTTATAGAAATACAGTGAACTTCTTCAGCTGCTATTTCTCTGCAGAAGGTACTTAATGAATGTTGTCTCTATATTGCAGGTGCAATCCTTAACATTGCCACGTAAAACATAAAGCCCACATGAACCAGAAGTTGCTGGAATTTGTAGAACTTCATCATCTGCCTTTTAGGCAATGGGCATTTCCATTTGAAGGAGTTAGAGGTTGTTATTACAAACCACTCCAAAGCTCCAAACCAGGTCAGTTATGCAGTTACACGTCACAGTGTACCTTTGATTACTGGATGAAGTAAGAGGGACTTTCTGGCCAGTAGTGGTGAAACTGACCTCCCTCTGACTTGTACCCGCTCCAAGCCTCACAGACCCCTTGGAGGCCACTGGCTTAGCATTGACAGTGTTGGCATCCATGGTGCATGATTTAGGAGGATGCCAAATACTTGAGGTCACATACTGTGGCGCATGCGTGGTACCTGTAGGCCTGAGTAACAAAGATTACAAGGGGATTTGTAAATGAGGTATTTCCTAGGTAATTGCAGGTATTTGAGGGAGAGACAGAATTCCAGCCGCAGAAGAGGCTGGTAATTTAGCAGAGAAAGGTTTGTTTGATTAGTTTTCAGAGATACATGTGCTTACTGTCCACCATACCAAATACAGCATCATTTTAGAATGCTAATGTCTGGCCCTTTGGGACAGCAGTTATTATTTTTATGGAGTAAAGCCTTCAGAAAAAAATTAAAAAATAACAAAAGCGCTGAACCTCATAATTGAAAAGTCAAGTTAAGTCTAGGTTTAGTAATGAAGACTTTATTTCTCTGTCTTCTCTGTTTCCTGGAAGAAGATTTATATCTATAAATACCCAGTGTCCTCTTTTTGTATCCTCAAAGTCCTTAATACCATAGGAGATCATCATGATATTGCAGATGAAGTCATGACAAATATTGATAGTTGGGGCCCCCAGCTATCAACAGAACACAGGCCTGTTGGATCAAGTCCAGAGGAGGGCTATAGAGATGCTCAGAGGGCTTCATACACCTCTTGTATGAAGACAGGCTGAGAGAGTTGGGCTTGTTCAGCCTGGAGAAGGCTCTGGGTAGACCTTAGAGCAGCCTTTCAGTATCTAAAGGGGACCTATAACAAAGCTGGAGAGGGACTTATTACAAAGGCCTAAAGTGACAGGACAAGGGGTAATGGCTTTAAACTGAAGGAGGGGAGATTCAGATTTGACATTAGGAAGAAACTCTTCCCTGTGAGGATGCTGAGACACTGGCACAGGTTGCCCAGAGAAGCTGTGGCTGCCCCATCCCTGGCAGTGTTCAAGGACAGGTTGGACAGGGCTGCAAGCAACCTGGTCTAGTGGAAGGTGTCCCTCTCCATGGCAGGGGGGTTGGAACTAGGTGATCTTTAAGGTTCCTTCCAACCTTTTTATGATGATTCTATGAAAGGCTTTAAGATTTAAAAAGTACCTTTTGTAAAATCTGTAAACTGTATTGGTAGGAATATCAAAATAAAACACATAGCAGAGCTATGATGATAATGGTGGTGGAGAAAAGCTATGGTATGACAAACCTTGCAAGATTAAGACATTGTGGTATGACATGAACACCTGTCATACATTAGAAATTGTTCCTGATAAAATAAAGGAAAAGAAAATATTTCAGTTAAGCAGCTGCATATCATGTAGATGACTTTGCTCAAATGAAATTGCTGGTGGAATACTAACATATTAATTGTTCAATTTAATTTATATACAGATATTACACAGGAATCAAGGGCTTTATTTTAGTCATTTGACATAATTTAAAAATAAAACTATGTTTTCCCTACTGTTCCAAGTGCCAGTTGCCATTGCTTCTGTCATTAGTAATGCTAATGCTTGCACTTGGATTTTAACTGTATGCAACCTTTGTTCAAATCTGAGCTGTCTTGTAAAAAAACCAAAAATAGAAAGGCAGGAATCAACAAGACAGGAAAGCAGTGATACAGAATTGTTTTCATAACAAACTAGAAAGAGGCATTTCTTTGCTCCATTAAACAGTTACTCAGATTCACTCAAGAAGTATCTGTGTTTTACTACTTGTGTGTTTTAGTATATGAACTAATAAAAACAAATACGTTTCTATATGTAACTGCAAAATGCGCTGAGATTCTTTGGGAGAAAGCAACTTTGAAATGAAAGAACTTACAGAGATACTATGTTTTGAACCTCATGACCCATTGAGGATCCATCAAGATAGTCAAGAATCTGATATATAAATGTTCTTAAAATACCAAAAGGATAATCTTATTTATGTTTTAAAAACACCTTGAACAATCTAGACAAAGTTTACAATGGAAATTGTTCTTACAACTCCATCACAAACTGACAATATTTCAAGGACATCTGATAAAAGCTTCTTATTTTTCAGATTTGTAAGTTCTCAGAAACATGATCCCCACCTGCTCCATCTCACAGAGCTTTTTGAAGGAAAAAGGTGCCTAGCAGAACCACTTAGTTGAAACCTCTACATTCATCATCTGCTCAAACAGTGTACAAACCTCATGTTTTTGAGGTAAGAATATTATTTAGAAAGCAGAGGTAAACTTTAAATAGCAGGTAAGCCAAACGCACACATCAAAAATTACCTGTTTTCTGATGCTGCAGCAACATTTTCCTTGTCTCTGTGAAAGGAGGGGATACAATATGAATAAAGTAAATGCAATTGCCAGTGGTGGCAAAAAAAGAAACCAAACCAAAACCCGGGGAGAAAGAAGATGGATTGAGGAGAAATGTTTGGTTGCAGAAAGCATCCTAGAGTGGTTGCTCATAAATATAGTCGTGAGAAACCTCTTCAGCTCTCCAAGTGAAACCCATCAAAATAGGCAAGTTTACTGTATGCTGCTTCTCAGTTGCAAACAATTTTGTTTCAGTATTAAAGGAAGGAAAATTAACAGTCACAAATTAGACATTGTATGTATGTACGTATATAATTTCAGGCATGGTTTTGACTTTAGTAAGTTACTCCTTAAAAGAAAATATTCCCGCAGAACAAAGTCTGATGCCATCTCCAAGCGGTAAAAATAATCAGATTTGGGCAGTCCTCAAGAATCCAACATTTTGAAGTGATAAAGCAGTTAAATGGTTAGCAAAGACTCATACAAGAAGGATTATATATGTCTGGCATCACTTAAAAATTCTCTGCCCTACCCAATTAACTGCTAGTTTTCTCAATCTAAATCAGATTAGAAACAAATGAAATCATTCCTTCTTTGAGGTGAGCAGTAAGTCAGCCCCAGTTTCAGTGAAAGAGAATTATTAGGTTGTTACTCTATAAACACACATACAAGCTTACAAAAATAACTGATCAGTTTAAGTGAAAATGATGGTGGATCTGTAAGAAGTTGAGACATAGGAGTCTAAGACTTTTCATAAAGACTAAAGGATTTTGTCTTTATGAAAATACCTAAGTTTGAAATCCTATTAAGTAATTGAGATAGTCTCAATATTTAGCAATTTAGTGGGTTGTTGCATCCTTTCCCATTTAAAAGATTGTGCTGGAATTTCAAGACATTTAAAGTTGAAATACATGAAATGAGAACAGTCTTAACTGGGATCTAGAATCACAAAACACAAAGCAAATTTACCCAACTGTACCTTCTTTCTGAAGTCTTTTGAAAATAGGGATACATGTATTTATTTATGCCGATTTGTTGGGTTCCAGTTATTATCTTACATTAAGTTTGGAAAGCTATTCTTAATATTTTCCACATTATTAGTAATATTTAACATATTTTTCTGTGTTTATGTATGCACACATACATATCTATGTACAGTCACATACTATTTCCTTGGCTTAGCTCCAATAAAGTTATAAAAACCAGTCTAGGTCTAGTTTATATCAGCAAAGGTTTGGGCATAGGTGTTCTCTACTAATTTTTAAAAGCTCTAACTCGAATGTAACCCCTAAATTATATGACTTGAAGCCAGATTTTCAAACCCAGCAGTAGATTTAGAATGACCCTCAGATGCAGCTGGCTGACTATGAATGTTATTATGGTAAGAATGGAAGAACCTGTCCTGAAAGTAAATACCCTAATAAGATCAATTGGTTCACCACTCTAAAGCAATGAGAAACCAAACACTATCTTTAAGGTAACCAAGCCATGAGTTCACTTGAACACCAGGTATCGGAAAGCCAGGGTGAAACAAGGCAGAAGACAGATTAAAAACTGTGCACGTGTAAGGAGGAAGTGTTAGAACATCAAGAGTCACAATCATGCGACAATGTTAAAACACAGTCATTGCCTGAAAAAGAATAAGGCCTTGGTTATTTCCAGTGTTACCAAATACTCTATGAGAAATTACAGTCAAGACCAAGAGGCAGGCAGTTGCGGGTCAGGCAGAAGCAGCATTAGGCCTCTGTTGTTACTATTAATCTGATCCAAACTTTTCTGCCCAACTAGCTGTGGCTATACTGAAGAATGCAAAAAAAAAGTCACTTGTCTTTGAAGTCAGTATTTCACAAAAGCTTTTTGCCTGAGCATACAAGCACAGGATAATGCTGAATGATGATGGCAGGGGAGTTGTGATGGCTAAAAAGAGGGAGAGAAGTATAGTAAACATACTTCCACAGAATAAAGCAAAAGAAAGGCAGAGAGTAAAGGGAAAGATGGGTTCACAGGTCCGCAACACTTCTGCATGGTTTTGCTTCCACAAACTACTTCTCAGTCAAGAGGAGTAATTCCCATTTGGCTAACAGTGAGAAAGGCTCACGATCAGATGTGTCTCTTGTTGGCAACACCTGCATTTTGTGGAACAGACTATTGAATTTCCAGCCTTAACGATCAAATGGTTTTTTGCTAACTAAATGCAGAATTCATTTCACTTTTGAGTCAAATACATCTATGTGTATTTGACTAAAAAGGCTCAGCGAAGTCAATACCTTCACAACATGAAAGAATTTGGCTCAAAATATCATGAGGAGTTTGAATCTCTGGCTACACAGGCTGCTTAGAGACCTGAGAGTAATGGACAGCAGCTTTGAGCCACCTGGGAGAGGTTTAAATTTGTTTTATTTATTTTTTGTCTGCAGCCCTTTTAGACACCAGCTGAAATGGCTTTTGATAGAAGGGCCTTAGTCAATGACTTCTGAGAACAATGCAGCTCCCACAGATTTTATTAAATATTGGACATATGCCTTAAGTTTTCTGTATGAAATATACTGTCTTCCCAGTTACACAGTATGTAATTGAATTACTAAATGGCAGTATATACTTTAATAATTAAATGTTTCCTTCTCATAAAAATATGTTACATTATATGGTCTTAAAGACAGAGTTAATAAAATAACAGGAAGAATTGTAATAGTTTGAGTAATGAAATGCAAAATTCATCTGCAAGCCAAGCTTGTGTGTGTGACAGGATCCTAGAGAGAGCCTGAAGAAACTTGGTGGAGCTTGTGTACCTTCCATCTACCTTTTCCTTAGAGAATGACAGATCTAGACTTTCTCTCTCTTGAATAGCTCCTTTCTGATCCATTAAAATATTGTAGACAGAGAATCGTTTAATCTGTAATGAAGATCTGATGACATAAGTAACATTAGGCATCCTGAGAGACCACATGGTAGAACCTTACTTGCCTTTTTTTGAAGAGGAAATAGTTATTAAGATTTAGAGATTATTAGGGTCTATATCTATTGAAATTAAAAAATCTGTTTTTCTAGTAGTATATTGTGGATTTGCAGGACTTGTCCTCATTACAATAGCTTTCATCCTAATATGTACTTATATTTACATAAACACGTTTGCCTACATAAACTTGCCTACAAATGAAATTTCCTTTTGAGAAGTAGGAGTCACAAAATACTATAAAAAGAATTCTTATAGGGTGTCTGGGAGTAAAGTTGCGTGAAAGCTATTTCCTAATTTCCTTCCAAACATTTTTGTCTCAAAGGCACAAGATACTGACACTACTGGAAGCTGGACACTGAGCTAGATTAACTGCTGTTCTGATCCAGTGAGGCTATTCCTACCTTTCTGTGTTTGCAGCTGAGAATTTTTCCATGGTCAGATGAATATAAAACTATTAAGACTGTTTGTTGTGGGTTTTTTTTCCTCCATCCAAGCTATATTTTTACCTTAACAAAGACACCGTAAGACACACAAAGATATCACAGGCAGTTAACTGGAAAGGACAGACGACAACTATCATGCTGGTTTAGTTAAAACTTTAGCTTGGCATCAGAAAAAAGGGGTAGAAAAGCTAGTCTCTCTTTTTCAGCCACTGTAGTTAAGAATGTGAGCAGCCCACGCCAAAACAATTGCAATATATCCTACGAGTATGCCTCCATCCAAAACGGGGAAATACATTTCTCCCAGAAGGCAGCCTGGTTTGTGCACACAGTGCCACAGAATAGGAAAAGCATTATCATATATTCAGGGGAAGAAAAAACAACCAGCAACTTATTTTCTACATGTAGTATGAAACTCAATCAAAGCAGCTCACTAAAATCAAAGCAAATACCTTCTCTGGAAGCATTTTAGTGGCATCTGCTGGTATGCTGTTTTATTTAACAGTTTAATAACAAATGCATAAATGCAGCTGGAAATACAGCAGCATCAGTGTCGGGGAAAGTTAACTTTTCCACGATTTACACAGTGATATTTCGTATGCAACTGTATGTCCTCCAATTTATCTTATTGGCAAACACATCACTTTAGTAAGATCAAAACTGCACAAAGACTGCAAAAGGTGGAGCAATTTGAGCTGGGATATATTTCGGATAATTATTCCCTATCTTGGCCTTAAGTGTGCAATTGGACTTATCCAAATGGTTCCCTGTAGCTTTTGATAGCCCCACTGTAAAAGTGCAGGTATGTGCCACTGGGCACCTTAATGCAGGATCAGGACTTTCCATTTTTATTTGTGACCATTAGAGAAAAACCTAATGCATGACACATGTAGGTACTGTACACAAGGAAGTTATTCCCCTTTCACTGAAGTGTTCTTTCTCATCGGGACTTCACTTTTCTCCAGGGAAGCTGAGCGAAGAACAAGTATCCATAGATCTCAATTTCAGCTGGTAGTTTTTTTAGAGCTACTTTTTAATCTGTGCACATCGATAAGAATGTTCATACTTTCTCTACATGGTATTATCCTAAGTTTGAAGCTGCATCTGAAATACAGCAATGTGTCTTTTCTATTCAGTTCCTGAACCAAGTGTTACGAATTAGAGCAGTTGTCATTATTTCAGAACATGGATTATATTTCATTTCTGAAATTCTCTTAAGGATGTTCTTACCTTCCCTCTCTCATTTGTTATCATACAACATTCTGGTTCAACTATAACAAATAGGTAGGTGGAAATGAACTATTAGGAAGCTATTAGTATTTAGGGTAATTTTACTGACATTAATGCAATTGAGAAGCAGAGTAAAAGGAAGCAGTGCCAGTGTCACGCTATTTGCCAGTTCTCCAGCTCACCCTAAACAAAGCTCTGTGAGCCAGTCTGATGATCCACAGACCACAGCTGAGTACCTCTGCGCTACACATGCCTGCTGGAAAGCCTGCTACGTGCAAGAACTGCTATTTCCTTGTTAGACAGAAGGCAGTGCAAGGGAGTAGTCAGACAGAAAGGTGGCACTGTACACTGGTATATTGGTTAGCCATCTACGTGAGTGG